TTGATAAATAATAATAATAATAATAATAATAATATTAAATATATTTATCTAAAATAATATAATTAAAAATAACTATTATGTTCCCTAAACATTTATCAGTTAACACTGGCGATGATTAAATATCCCCAGTCAATGAGATTATAGCTTATGCAATTAATAACACACATTGTGTTATTGCATCATGTTAATGCACATACATTATCAGTTTTTATTTGTTTAATGACATGAAAATAAATAAATAAATAATAGAAATTTGTCTTGTTGTCGTAATGAGATGTTCATCAGTTTTCTAAGGCGTGATAAGAAAAATAAGAAACCCGAGTGGCTTCTTTAATTAAAAAAATCTCTCAATATTCTTAGCTTCAAAAGATATTTTGTACGCATAAGACAATCAAAACTTATGTAATCAAAGAGAGAAAACAAGTATATCGAAATCGCGTATATTAATTAAAAAAAAAGAAAAAAAATACCAAGATGACCCTCTCTATATTACACAAGAGTCAACAATATGTAAGCAAAAGCAATATTACATATTATTAATACGCACAAACACATATCATATATATGTGTGTATGCACATATATACTTTTTTTGTTTGTTTATATGAGTAGTAAAAAAATATAGCCTTGTATTATAATCAGAGTCTGAATTCGACTGCCATCTCTTCTTCTTCTTCTTGAAATCTAACTAATGCGAATGCACGGACAAAGTTTCCTAAAAATGTGTCCTAGGAACGTAGAGCATGTATTCTTTATATTACACAAGAGATAAATTAATGATTGCCACGTTCGCTCATAGCAGTACAGGATATGTCACTTATGTCGTCCCTTATTCTTCTTGTCAATGTACATTCATCTAGTTTTCTAGTATTATCATAATTATTTAACTTTCTTGAAAGTGTACCCGACAGATTAACACCGTCTATCGCCAACAAAGCCGAGTTATCAAGTCTTTTACGATTTTCCATATTTTCATTAGCATTTCTTTCAGATTTATCAGATCTTAACGTATTGTTTAAACTATGATCAAATTTTTTGAGATCATTTTGTATACTTTTAATAGTATCGGTATTACTATCGTACCGTCTTAACAAATTACTTTCATTCTCATACCTACGATTGATGGAGTCTGAATCTAGACATTTCCTTAGTGTATCGTCGTATCTTCGATCTTCTATTCGTCTAGAAAATCCAATATCGTAGCAATGATCTGCGTCCGTGCAACTGCGTTGATTTAAACTATCCATTTCGTAAGCACGTTTTGTTAGCTGACTATCGAAACCGGCTCTGGCAGCTAAATGGAGGTAATTGTCGTCGCCAATTGGTGCTTGTCTAAAACAAAAATAAAAACAAAAATATATATATATATACAAACGAAAGAAATATTTCCAAAAAATATGTATTAAAGAACTCACTTGCTTCCATATTTGGTGTCGCGGGCTACTCTTCTAAAGTAAGCCCTATGTTCGTGTTGCAAAGCATATGCAGCTTCTCTCAACGCAGTTAAAGTTTTAAAACAAGATGGAACGTCTTCAATAAGAGATCCTCCACCTGGTATCACACACATATCACTCGCCCCATACACTGCCTGACACTCACATGCACTCATTAATGTTTCAAGACGAGGCATATTGGTGAAAATCAATGAATGTATCCTTTGTAAATCTCTGTCCGGATCTAGAACCATACGTAAGCCAGCTTCTATACCTGGAGACACTTCACTGCATCCTGGTGCTACTTCTGATGCTGCGCGACAACTATAATCATAAATTTAAGAAAAACATTATTAATAAGATAATACACAAAATAATATCATACTATATAAATATATGATAAAATATATTTTGTTAATATTTTTTACTCACCAAAGCCAATGACCATTGATATACGCGCTAGGATGATACTTTTCTAATCGATTACTATTCGTGTGACATATTTTCGTAAGTATGTCGATCCATTCTTTTTCCTCCACGCAATTACCTGCTTGAACGTATAACGCTCTTTGAGGTTGTACTATTTGAAACATATTCTTCATCTTAAAAGAATCTTCGTGTAACCTTTCAACCGCGAGTATTTCCTCTAATGGAATTTTACATAAAGGTTCTTTACCTGTCGAAATAAAATTACAAACTTATTTAAGTATTTTTAATAATTTGTTAACGTCATGAAATACAACAGAAACAAAGTCGGCATATTTCTTTACCTTTCGTTTTGGAGTAAGTTAGATCTTGAGTAGTTAATCTGAAGTATCTTTGTTTAAAATTTTTTCTACCAAATCTTTTTCTACCTTGAGCCCTTTTGATCATTATTCTGTAAATAAATAATAATATATATTAATTATTAAATATAATATAACAAAACTTTCTAAAGACATTTATCTTTTTTTTTTTTAATTTTTTTTTTGTTTTTTTTTTCGCAATACAAACCTCTTACAATCG